AATGGCTCCTCCTTCGCCATGACCTCCACTTTTTAAAACCTGTCCAGTCTCATTGCGAACCTTATCCTGCAAAATAAATAAATAACAAACTTGAGATTCATAGCAAGCCTGCACATAAAAGGGGTGTGTTGAGTGGAAAATTTTCATGTTGAGTGGAAAAATCTCACATTGAGTATATAACAAAAAAGTATATAACAAAAAAGTATATGGGCTAAATATAAGGAGGGCTACTCCATCTATTGCTAACTGATTTTACGTTAGATGTAAGCCTTGTATTCAAGTCTCTGTGCCCAACTTTCACACAATGCAGTTGTAGTGTTTCTTGGTTCGAATCATCAATAAGTGAAATTTTCGATGCTTGAATTTTTACAACCGCAGATGTTTCTTGGGTTGGGTTTTCATGGGGGAGATATGGGATCAACACCCTTCGTGGTTGCCCCGTCGTTAGTTCTGATTGTCAAATCCACCCGATAAGAAATAGGGGAAAGATCAGAAAGATGAAAACCTTCACTAGTGAGGCTTCCAACTTGGGACTTCGCCCAAGAATTAGTGGAAAAGATATAAACACATTTTTTTCCCCTTAATTTCGGGTTCAAGGTTTTCCCTATTACTCTTAATGAAATTGTGCATTTTTGCAAACCTCTCATCTATAGCAATTTCCATTAGATATTTTTCTGTGCGCCCCAGACATTTTACTTCCTCATTTATTACCTTCACTTCACTAGATTTGATTCCACTAGTTGTGCCTTCAAAAGAATAAAGAACTTGGTTTTGAGCTACTTACACCTCATGAACTACTTCTTGCTCCCCAATGGCTCCTCCTTCGCCATGACCTCCACTTTCTAAAACTTGCCCGGTCTCACTGCCAACCTTGTGCTGCAAAATAAATAAATAACAAATAATTCATAATCTTTGCCATGTTCTAACTCCTCTCCATCTCATAGCTTTCAAGCAATGAAGACTACACAATCTAGATCCAGAAGATGATTTAGGTGGAATATCTAGTTTACTTATAAATAAATAACTGATTTAAATCAAATATCTAAAATTATTACTAGTGAATTAGAAATAGATGATATAGGTGCCAACGAATGCGCAGGGACTTCTTCAGTCTCTTTCTCACGAAGAAACGCTTCATTGGTTTATTTCTAACCACGAGGCACTTGGTCGATTTCTTTCTCACCAAGAGGCAATCAGCCGGTTTCTTTCTCACCAAGCAGGGGTTGATTCGAATTCAACGCAAGTTCTCCAAGGTAGTAACTTCGAGAGCGGCGACGGCTAAGGTTTCCGCTAATTATGGGATTGGGGGTGGCAACTCCGTCGGAGCAAACCGTACACCTTGCTAGGGAATCTCATTAAGAAAAGTGTCAAAAAT